ATCTGCTTTCTGATATTTTGCATTTCTGTGCGTGTGTGCCTGTGTGTGCCAGCAGAAAATCCCACTATCCTGGAAGAATGGTGAAACTGGGGAATAATTTCAGCGAGAAGAGCACAAAGCAGCCCCTTTTGGAGGATGGATTTGACACCATCCCCYTGATCACACCCCTGGATGTCAATCAGCTCCAGTTCCCACCTCCTGATAAGGTACAGTAGGYTTTAGTTTCCACCCTGGAGAATCACACCCAAATCTCAGGCAAACAACAAAAGAATAGGTTATGGGTATCAAGCAGCTTAGAAACRGCAAGAAATGTGGGGTGTTTTAAGGCATGCTAGTTCCCTGTGGGGAAAAAACCCAAACAGCTAAGCTCAGGAAAATCCGGTAATGGTGATTTGCATTAAAAATCTGTGTGAAATGTTAGCAATAAGCGTACATAGATTTTAGTACTGCTGTATGAAACCTATAATATGCAAGTGAAAGCTTCTCTGTGCTGTATTGTCCTAGCCCTTCCTATTCTGTGTCTTTCTTTCTTGTATCTGGAAGGTGCTGTGCATTCTCTGTGAATAATGTGAATTTTCTCTGTCCAGAAAATGCCCACCTGATAGGGGGATAGAGCCTTGCCTTGCATTTCTCTGCARGATGGGCATGGGCATACTGGCAACAGAGAACACTTCCATCTTCCTTCTGTGCTTCAGTAAGAAACTAATGCTAACCCYGGACAAGCTGAAATAATGAGATGAGAACAGGCCATTGAGTTTTCTCCTTGGCAATTTATTGTGTTTGAAAATCTCAAATTGGTGATTCAGACATCCTCTATAGCTGGAAAGGGACAGTCCAATGAGCTGCTTACAGGCTGGAAGGAAAATGTGCTTCCTGCATTCCTYATTAAATGCCTTGATTATTAGGGATTTAATTTTAAAGATTTAGAAAGGTGATGTGATAGCCTGTAAATATATTTATTGTCCTCACAATAAAGAATTCAGTGAGTGTTACTACGTGTAAGGTATACAGAAGTAGGTTTTTTTCACGGTTTCCAGTATCCTGTTTTAAAAGGATTCTTTCTTGTACATTTCCCACATGYGTCTGCTAATAAAAAGCTTTGTGCTCTTCATACAGTTTTTATTTTTGGCCTTGTGTCTTCTGCAAGCTGAATTCTACTTCTAGTTAAACTGATAGCTATACATTTCTCAAACCTCAAAAAAATTGACATGMTCTTATCTTAGGGTAAAGAATTCTATCTTTTAAAATTTTCCTCGGTATAATGTTGCTTGTAGGCAATACAAATAATTTTAATTTTTTAATTGCTCCTCCATTTTAATTGCTATCAACACCATTCTGTGCTGTGTGTGGTGACCAGTTGGCAGGCATAAATGCAATAAGCCATAACAGCTGTTCAGGAGCCTGAGGGTCCATTTTATGCCCTCAGTTACATGGGTGTAAATCTTGTAACTGAGGACAAAATCGCACCCTAAGGCTTTAGAACAAGTCTTACCGTGTCTGATACACCTGCCAACTGGTGACTGGATAGAACTGATTACTGAGGACCAATGACCAAAGGAATTTGTTCTCTTACTGCACTGCTAAGCACAAGTCTGAATGAGGGATCTGCAGGGTAATAGGTTTAATCTGAGCAGAGCCTCTGTCGTGAGCCCAGGGGGGTCTGTGCCAGCCCCACTGCTMCTGCTAGAATGGGACAGAACTCCTCCCACCTGCATGGCATTTGCCTTGAATGAAAGCAAATGTCCAGCTAAGCTGGGAGCTTAAATAAAGGAATATTTGATTGGTTCTTCTACTCTCCACTGTCCAATTGTATATCAGCTTTTTTTTCCTCTTGCAAACATCAGAGGGGGAAAATTAAATACGTGAGTTTATTGGTCCTGCTGGCATCCTTAGCTGGTTAGTCATGGCAGTGTATCTTTASTGATTGCCACAGGCTCGAAGGCAGGAGCAGAGCAACTGATGTGAAAAAAGAAACAGTATTAGGAAAAGATTGACACACAGATCAAATTCTGAAGTATGCAGACATTCATGTATAATGAATAGGAATACATGGTTCATGTATCTATGCTTATTATTCACTTGCAAGGCTCCAGCATGGCAGTGAAGCATAACTTCTTGAACAGTAGYGACTACAGCGCTAAGGATTTGATGATTTTGACAGTTTCTAAATTAAAGGGATGAAGTGATTGAAATTCATATTTAGATATGTTAAACAAAAGAAGACATTACATAACCAAGCAGTTAGAACTGTACATTCAGTGTCAGYTGAATGTGATTTGAGTTGCCTGAGATTATGCAACATAAAGGGGGGAGGAAGGGAACTAAAATGTTAAAAAGCATTCCAGAAATCATCTGTGATTAATRGCAGTTACCTTCCATGATGCTGTTGGGCAGCTATAAAGTTAAATAGATAATAACTACTATCTTACTCATTAAAGCTAGAATAGGTAAGTAGTTTTTAAACCTGTGTCCTGAACAAGAATGTGTAATGCTGTCAAAGTGTTTAACAAATKCTATGATACTGAGTCTAGGTACAGTTACATGTTCTAGGTGCCATTCAAGGAAGTGAGAAGGGAACCCAAAGCTTATCATTTCACTGTCTGGCTACCTGAARTGTCACAGTCTTAATTACAGAAAGATGGAGAGAGACTATTTAAAATGGCATGTATTGACAGGACAYGGGGGAATGGCCTCACACCAAGAGTAGGTTTAGTGTGAGGGGGGTCAGGCACTRGCACRGGTTGCCCAGAGAAGCTGTGGATTCCCCATCCCTGAAAGTGTTCAAGGCCAGGYTGGATGARGCTCTGAGCAGCCTCGTCTAGTGGAAAAGGTCCCTAYCCATGGCAGTAGGGTTGGAAYGAGRTAATCTTTAAGGTCCCTTCCAACTCAGGCCATTCAGTGATAATRTCTTTGCTATTAATACCATGGGCAATGCTAAAGATAGAATTTGATTCTCAGAAATATAAAAGGGTAGATATTTGTTCATTGGAAAAACAGAGGAAATTGAGCAAATTGTAATAGCACTGTCAGTATAACAGACCGCCCTAGCTTGAGAACAAAACTTAGTAAAAGATTCTGAAAAATGCAGAAGACAAAAATGAGGCAAATAGGTTAGGTATGTGAAAATTTTGCATGATTAGAATGCCTAGGAGAACACTAGAGATACGACTGATGTAATGAGTATTTTGGGAATACAGGTGAGGTGCTTAAATTGTGCAGCTTGGGGCAGTAGTTCATAGCAAGGAATAACCTGAAGAGCTTTGGGTGTTTGAAGAAATCCCATTAACACAAGGATTTCTGTGCATCTTGCTCCTTGCAGCTGAAAATTCAGAAATTGATGTTAAAAATAAGAGTGCCAAGGGCCATAGTCTATCACATAGTGAACAGCAGCTAGACAACATGGGTCATATTTTTTTTTAAAACTCAAAATCCAGCTGTCAAAGAACATGGCATCATCATCATCAAGATTTTTATGGGTACTCATCAACAATCTTCTGTTGGTGTCCAGTTTGAAATCCCATTAATGGAATTTCCTGAAGCAAATAGAGGTGGTTGTTTTCAATCTATACAAAGTGGGAGGGTCCATGATTTGGATTTGACCTATACTTGCCTAGTATAAGAGCACAGTATCACCACAGATGAAAAAATTGAACCTTTGTGAAACTGTTGCATAAGTCTTCCTGTAGGCCTATCAAAACTACTTTAAGGGGTAAGTTAGTTGATGATTAATATGCTGGGGGAAAAAAAGTAATAATTTAGAGCTTTCAAAGAAGAGTTACACAAAGCGGGGAGGGGGAAAATAGATAAAAGAAGAGTTAAAGAATAATTAAGGTTTTTGTGGCCAGCTTTAGCTGACAGTTTTGTCACTGATTCTTTTTCTTAAAGGTTGTGGTCAAAACMAAAACAGAATATGAACCTGATCGCAAGAAGGGAAAGTTCCGTACTCCTAAAATAGCTGAATTCACAATCAGCATCACTGAAGGGGTTTCAGAAAGATTTAAGGTAAGCAYAGTGATCTGAAGATGTTCATGACTCAGTTGTGTTTTCAGAAGTGCTTAAAATCAATTGCTGATTTTTGTCAGAACTGGCTATAACAGAGTGCCTGTTGTGGGCATAGCTGGACACGAGAAAAAAAAAATTCAATGTTATAAGAGTTCAGTATTTAATAATTAGAAGCCAAATCAAATCTTGCAGCATTATTGGTTGTACTCCCTCACTGGCAGATGAATCCYGAAGGCGTTTCTGTCAGTGTGTGGGTTTTGGAATGTGGCTTGCCAGGGTGTGTGTGGGCTGCACAGTGGGAGTGCTCATGGCATGGATAAAGCTCCTGTTTGTGCTGAAGGACAAGAACCACCAGAACATTTATTTTCTTTTTGGCTTCTTATTTATCAGTGTGGCCAAACCATTCTCTTAAAAGCACTGTCATAGGCCATTATGCACTTTTTATAGTTAAATATATGACTTGGCAGCTCAGGGATRTATAACCAGAGCTCTTTCCTATCAGTTTTCGTGGTCCAATTAAACTTATGGTTTGGTGATGACTATTACTGTCAGATGGCAGTTCAGCAAGGATYTGACTCAGATTTATTCTTTARTGTCCACACCCTTATTACTYCCTTCATTAGTCCCATAGGAAACCCAAGAACTTAATTGGTGCAAGGCTTGAATGACCTTTCCCCCTTCTCCCTGGAGATAGATTTTCTTGCTCTGTGTAAGTAAAGCAAAGCAGGAAAGTTGGCACTTCAGCTTGTGCTTCCYTATTCCTTTAAGAAAGGAAGACTGCAGCTTTTCAGTGCTTTTAATTTGGCATCTTACCCAAGGATGCCCAAGCATTTTTAAGCAGTAGACAACCAGATAGACAACCATACTCTTCAAAGCCCAAGTACAAATACCTTTGGAAAGCRTAACATTTAGTACGAGGGGAAAATACAAATTTTCAGTAAAGATGTGGATTCTCTTTCTAGTGCACTGTTCAAAACTCTGCATGACAGGAGTTTTAGGGCACACCCAAGGATTTTGGTACTGCTGTGCCTGAGCAGTGCTCTAAAAGCTGCCCAGGCCCAAGCTGACCTTCAGATGTGTATATGCAGCTCAGTGGAATCAGAGCATGCTAAACAAACAAAGTGAAGRCTCAAGGAGGGATTAGACTATATTTGGAAAGGAACTTTGCAGAGTGTTGCTGCGACAAACACTTTAAGTGCAATTCACCTGGTGGAGTCTTCAGCCATCCAGTGAAGCATGCAGGTTCCCACTCAGCTGTGGGGAGCCACCACCAAGAAGAGAAGTTATGGGGTGTGGTAGGGTTTTACCAAGGAGGTAAGAAACCTAGTTCCAGCTTTTCCTACTCCTTGATCTGGGGCAGGGACATCCCATCCCTCAGGGAAAATGCTRTGTTCTGACTAACATTCTCTCTTTATCCTCCTGGCATCACAGTACCAGTCCTTGAGAGTAATCCCCTTCCTCTCACGTGAGAGTTGGGTGAATGCAGATGGRCAGCTCAGAACAAGGAGAGCTCATGTCTGGCTGTCTTTGTGCATGTCCTGGTGACACTAAGGTGACTGGAGAATGCTTACTGTGTTGTGGAAGAGAAAGGAGAGGCTGTTTTTAGTTGTAGTGCCCTGCTAGGACTTTTTGGTTCCTGAAGAATTTTGCACTTAAGGTTTAGCAGTAGGGCCTAAGGGATTTCATCACTGGAACATTAAACTGTAGCTAAGGAAAGGGTTTGAATATCTTAGTCACATCTATGTGCATCCTTTTGTACATCTGGAGGGGGGCGGGATTGTATCTTTGTTGGGAGAGCTGAGCAAATGACACCTTGGTGAAAACAAATAAATAGCTTGTCATGCTGTTAGGTAGTCTTTTCTAATTTGTATATCTGAACAGTTAAAAGCTTGAGGATTTTTGCATTTTTATACACCTTTGGATGGCATGCTTAAATAAAATATCCTTTAGATATTACTTTATTATGATCGCTCTGGGATTAATCTCATGCTACAGGGTTGCTAGGTTTTGCTGCTAGGTAACTACTGCATCAGAGAGTGGTTTCAGTAAGATTTGGTATCTCTTGGGAATTGCAGGGTGATTCACGTTGTGGCTATAAGTCTGGCTTTATTAAGAAGAGTGTGGGGATTGAACAATTGAACTGAATTGTGGAAAATAGTGGTTCAGTTAATTGAAAATAATGTTCATGCAGAGCATTCAGGTCCTAAAAATGTCCTTTAATCTCTATATAACAATTTTAGAATTGAATTATGCTGCTTGCAACATTTTAAAGAAAACTGACTAGTTCTCCAGTGGGGCTGATTGTCGTATTCACCACTCCCAGTAGTAAATATTACATGAATAATTGATAACATTTCATAAATATGTAGACCAAAAGTACTGATTGTGTGAGGTTTTCTCCTGGGTCCTTATTAATTGTGAACCATCATGTTAACTTCTGCTGTTGATTCTGAGAGAGCAAAAAGATATTTGTTWGAAAATTAAATATTTGCTGTAATTATGAAATGCATTATTTAACTGGTGAGATATTGACTTTGGCTTGTGTTCATGAAAAACCTTTCAGATGCCATTTTAATGACTTCAGTATTGTACATCACGGATGCACAAGCTTGCCACAAGACACAGCCTAAATGCTGTGCTAAAAATAAAGCAAGTCAGTCAGTCATATTTACAAATAATTCACATGTGTATTCTAGGATGTACTTCTTAAATAAGGACAAAGCAGATTGCATTTTTGGGATTCAGCAGTGCAGATCATCTAAAGCTGTTCCTCTTGAGAAGTTACACATTATAACAAATGAAGCCACTCCAGCATGGGCATATGTCATGTAGATCATTTGGTGTTTTAGCACCTGGTGAATAATCAATTATAAAACATATTTTCTGCATTCAGTCCACATTACCACAGTTATTACAACAGGGCAGGGAATGTTTAAAAAGAAAACTGCGAGTATAATTTTCATCTATGAAGCCCCATTCTGAATTCAACKCAGAATCTCTCAGAAGAATGTGAAGATTTCCTGATTCTGAGAACCCTGTTGTCTTAATTTATTCTCATGGCGCTAACCACACCAAGGAAGATGTGATTTTTTGCTGAAGATTATTTCCCATTGAGAAACAAAACTCTTGCTTTTGTTCTTTGAACAGTGTAGGCTGATGTGGCAGTTGGTTCTTCACACCTGGAAAGCAACTTTGAATGAGGCAGGTCTTTCTCTCTTGTAAATTGTCCACTGTACAGAGTAACACAAGGCTGGAAATTCCATTTTAAAGGAGCCTTTGTGAGTCAGGACATAGGAGGAAGTTATGGCAGAAGGAAATKGAAGGTGTGAGTTACCCAAGGCCAAACCTTTCCTCCCCCATTGGCAGAGCAGTGTTTTTACAACTCCCAGCTGGATTTTGTAGTGAGATGTCTACTCTGGCACCCATCTACAACTGTCTTGTACAAACACACCAATTTAAGAAAAAATCTGTTCTAGCAAAGCATGACATTTTTTCCTGTATTTGAGAAAACCTCAATAAAGAACATTTAGAGGAATTTTGAAAGCAAATACTGCTTATTTTTTTTTTCTCAATGAATTTTCAACCTTTAAATCAACCCAAGCTGTGATATGCCTTCAGCCTTTTGTTTCTATTCAAAGGTAGTTCAGTTCTTCTGACTTTATCCTTGATATCTCTACACACATCAGATTGCAGAGCCAAAGCCTCAAACTTTGTGCTAGGACCATATGGTGCAAGCCCTGTACTATCAAGTAGCAAACAGCTGTTGAAATATCTGCATGAGGTTATGGAAGAGGAATTGAAACTTCAAGATGAGTTATTGCAGTTTTACCTGGTCACTTTAAGACTGCAAAAATGTATGCAGTATATCTAACTGTTCAGGGTTGGTTTATTTTCTATGTTAAAAGGGGCATCCTTCAAACATGTTTCTGCTTCAACACTTTTGTACCTCTTCTTAGTAATGCCAGGGATTATTATTGATGCAAAAATAATCAGAAACAAGGAAAATAGTTCTCTCCTTGTTGCTGTGTGATTACTTTGTGTATTGAGCAGCTCTTTGCTCCCACTTTAAAAGTCTGTTAAGAGCATGAGATGTCAACTGGTTCCTGTAAAGGTATCACTTCCTTAAGTATATTCTGTGTCTGTCACTTAGTGCTGGATGAGTGACAGGTACTTACTGTCATTAGCAGTTTTGTTTCTCCAGTGGAACTATTCACAGGATTAAAGTTGCTCACAAGTGTAAGTGTTTGGCAGGTTTTGTATTTTTTCATTACTACTTCAAATAAGGAAAATAAAGGAGGTGGTTTTTTTTCAAAGTAACTATTATTTTAAAGTAATTGATGTAAGTAAAGACACTGCTTGGCAACTGTCACTTTTCCTTTTTTTATGTTTGATCTTCTCTAGTATGCCATTGACAATCCTTCTGCTAAATTTTTGGTTGAAATTAATTTTATAGTCAGAGCTGGAAGATTTAAGTAAAGTGGATGCATGACAGCAGTTCCCCTGCTATAAGTCAGGTGTCCCCTGCCATTGTGTCCATTAGAAATCCTTTTACTGGAACAGAACCAGTCACACTGGTGACACAGATGTTTTGGATCTCTCAAGATATATCACTTAAATAAGCTTTCCTCTTCTGTAATAACATTATGCAGCCTTTTTCCTGGCCTCAGTAATATCATCTGGGTTTGTAAGGGAAGTTAGTAAGGTTCTTATCTTGGTGCCACAGGGTTTCTTAAACGGCTTCCTCAGATCCCTGTTGTTAAGAAACTAATACATGGTGCCGTGTGATGGAAGATGACAGGAACATTGTCACGAACAGCTGAGTTCAGCCATAGTTAGAGGATCTCAAGGCCAGTGCCTTGTTAACCTGTTTTTGTCTAACAGTGTGTCCCTCAGGTTTCATTAATCAATTCCCTTGCAGWCTGGTCCTGTTGTCTTGCACTGTCACTGTTAATAAGCCCTGGTTCTGTAGCTTCTTTTCTCTTACTGTCCTCATGAATCTG